AGTAGTTATTAACGGCCAAGTTAAACTTAGGAGTTGGACTTGCAGGGCAAAGGGGTGGTTATGGGATAGAACATCACGATAGAACATGATAGAACATAATATATAGTCAGGGGTGTCTATCAATCACCACCTTTTGGGCGGTGCTGGTGGATGATCTTGAATACTGTTGAGAAACCCCAGCTGCAGGCGGAGAAGGACAGTGTCTACTCGGCGCAGAAAGGTTCCCCCCCCGTAAACTGGCCTCGGCCGGTCCAGGGACACTCCATGCCACGCACCAGGTCACGGTTTCGGACGCTCCTGGCTTCTCCTGGCTCCAGTTCACATGGGCAACAGGTTGGTGACCCACCATGACCCATCTTGACCCGCAAAACACCACCGGAGCCGAGGAAGAGCGCCCTGAAGAGCCCGAGCCGAGCTTCACGGGCGTGGCCGGGAAGAGCAGCCCACGTGGGCTCCACTGGGACGAGGAGGATGAGCAGGGGCTGTCTGCAGAGTCCACACGGTCTTTTGAATTATGGACCGTGCCGGCGAGCGTGCAGTGTACACTGGGCAGCAGAGAGGAAATGGACCTATAGGGGCTCCAGTCGTACCTCAGAAGGTATGACTGGACCCTCTAAACCCACCCCAAACAAACACCTTCTCAGAAGGTATTTGGAGCCCTAGGGAAATGGAAGGAACACAGAATAGTTGCAGACCAACAGAGGTGGGTCAGAACGCGACTGTTCGGCTATCCCAGTTTGGTACCCCATTGACGGGTCCTAGAAGTAGGAAAGGCTTGGTGGGTCGCGACACCTGCACGTTCGGCAGGGTCGCAGAACTACTGGAAGAGGGTTGAGCAATGGACTAGGTTTTGCACTACAGCATCATGCTGCAGGTTGAAGGCGTGAAATTCGTTCACAGGATTGGCAGGACTTCGGCGTTTAGGTTGGATCGATTGTTGTGGTGCAGGCCAGGCCAGTTCGGGTCCTAGAAGGTCACTTGACCTCTCGTGGTAGGTAAGCAAAGCATATATCAGTCAGAGTCAGTTGCATCATGTTTGATCCCGGTGGCTCCTGTAGAAAACAGAAGGTTGAGAAGAACACCCTGGCACTACCCCAACCACCGAACCGAAACGAAGCTAGGCCAGGAGCTCTAGGGTATACACCACCTTCTCACTGGGTGGTGCTGGAGTATCGCAGTTGCTTGAGGGAGACCTTGGCAGGAGCGTGAGGGACCCACATCATTTACGACCACCATTTCCCGGGTTTTGAGACCACTTCAACCTTCAACATCCTTCGACCTTGGAATATATGTGTTTGTTTGAGTGTTTAACTTGTTTGGTATATGTGCCTGCATTACTCTCTCTCTAACCCCCCAATGTAGCTAAATATTCCATACATGCAGTGATTGGGTTTAGGAACTTCCTGCTTTGACTTATTTTACCTCTTACCTCGAGTCCACCACTACCAGGGCAAAATGAGTCAGTCATGACCTCATGACCTCATGACTGACCTCAAGACCTCACGACTACCCAGGATATCCCAGGATCGTCCAACCAGATCCACCGAGGTGTGGATGACGACCTCCGTTCACGTCATTCCTACGAGTCCTGGACGGTGCCCACGACCACGGAGATCGACGCCCCCTCCAACCGATTGCTCCATGCCCCTCTTCTACCGTCGAGAGAGCCTTTTGAGAGCGACGGGAGCCGAGAGGGAGGTAGGAAACACTGGGGAAACCTAAGAGAGGTTGAGAGACCAGAACTAGGACCCTGTGTGGTACATATGGGATGGTCTATAGGGCTGTTCAACCTCTCTTGGAAAGGGCTGTTCAACCTGGGTCGCTCCAAGACCTGGACGAAAGACCTGAGCTGCCATGGCTCCAGGGGCCGGATGGGAGATGCACCCAACACCACTCTCACACCTTTTTGGGACGAAACGGTGGAACAAGCTTTCGTTGTGTCTTCCTTCGTGTGACATCGAAAGTCACCAATCCGATCCCATAGAGCTCCAACCTGCTGAGAAGGTGAGACTGGGGTAGGTGCCAGGGTGTTCTGTCCCCTTCTGAGGATGTGGGACAGGAACCCTACTAAGGATTTTTCTCAATCTTCGGATTCACCATCTTGGTGAAATCAGACCGGACAAGTATTCCGTCCGTTCGATGGCTGGTGATTTTATGCAGATTACAGAACCGTCTCCGAAGGGTTGAGGTGGAGTAGGGATGAGACAATTTGTGTGTTCGATGGCATATTTCATGGTGGACCCAAACATCATGTTTTGTCAGTACGGTAGTTTACTTATGAATGCAGATCATACAATACAGATCGTCAGATCGTCGATCTTGGAAGTTATGCTTTACTTCCGAACGCTGCTAAATCTTACATGTAGCTTCAAGAGCTGCTTTCGCTTAAAAATAAACATAAACTAAACCTAAGAATGGTTGCCAAGTCCTGTAATTGCTCAGAATGAATTTGCCAAAGGCCTTGCATCCACCCATGCATAGAAACAACTATTATGGGACTCGTGAGTATATTAGCTTAAGGATCTTAAGGAAATTAAGTATTTTCAGAAACCTGAAAGGGCCCAGCAAGCAATTCTACCAAGTCAATTCAGCAAGCCCGTCCAATCAACCAATGCACATATACACACACACACGCATGGGCACATATGATTTGATTTTTAGCTTGTTGCTGTTAATCAAATACTCTTGAACTAGGAGCTGCTTAGCGGCAAACCAACACATGTTCCAAATACAACGTGCAAAAGACCTTCCAACAACATATATGAATAAAGATGCACATTCATTCTCACCAATTGTTGCATTTGTCACTTTTGCTTGAGAGGCTTTTCGGAATTTTCAACATCTTCCGAAACCTGAGAGGGCCCCTCTCAACCCAGCATGCTGCAACGCCCATCCAATCCACCAATGGATGCATGGAAGCATAGGCACCAACAATGGCAAGATGCTTCACATGTTACCAAAAGCTATGAATACAGTCAGACACATCTAATTGGAGAAATGCCGGGTATTACCAATGTTATATGTCCAATCATTCCAAAGACATAGTGCTGGAGGCAAAAGTTTCATCCGGAATTGTCCATTCTCGTTGTGTCCTTGGCTTGGGGGTGTCCCATTACCTGTAACAGTCGGTAAACAATTACTGTATCACTGCTTTAGAGAAAGGCCTTTTCTAGCCATCATCACCCACTGTTGCTGGTACATGGAATATACCCAATCCTTAGCTACCCCATATTGTTTTCTCAAAAAGTATTCTTCATGGTTAGTTAGATGTTGTGAACACCCAATAAATAGTGTCTTTTTTTTGGGGGGATTAAGCTACCATGATTCCTCGATATTGATTTTGCTTTATACATTGGCTACCCGTATCTAAAATTGAGCAGGCGCAACCCCCGATACCATATAGCACCGGGATGTATATGTGTCTAACTTTTCCCATACAGGACTCTAGAAGGTTAGGATGATGTTTCGGCGCACATGTGTAAGTGATGTACTAGATGTTGCTTTAAATTTTGCCTTAGTGCCCAAAGTGGGTGACAGATGACGCCCATCTTCAAGATGGCTTGGAGGGAGCTGTTAAGTTGAGATGACATTGACTTCCCCTAAGGCTCCAACTAGCTCCGTTTCGAAGACTGGACACAAATAGGCGCCATGCCCGGGGGTCTCACCACCTGAGAAGATGGGACAGGAGCCCTAGGGCTTTCGTCTACCTAGACCCTCCAAAGTACCTTTCAAATTTGGACATGACCCCATAAAAACAGGTACTTGTACCCATTTTCTGAGGTACGTACGGGTCGACTCCAGGTAGTTTCCAGCGCTCCGGAGGATTGCTCCCGAGAGCCGTTTGAGACGACGGTGACCGGACCTCGCTGCACCATCGTCAAGCGTCGACCTCCCCCAGGAAGCGTACCGGAAGGAGGTGCATTCGTTCATCGCGGGCGTGAGACGCGTGGTGAGAAGGTGGGCGTAGGTTGAGGGTTGACTTCTACCCTCAGAATCTTGATATCATCAGCAGACTCCATCCATGTACGTTTGGTGGGTGATCACAGTGCTGCATTTGGCATTTCCAAGCCACTTGCACGTGTTACACAGAGTGAATCTCCGATACGTTAGCATGCACTTGCGCTCATTTAAGAACTACTATATGTGGCCTGTACACCCTCAAGGGTGCCCATTCATTTTCTCCCTCGAGGTGCATTTTCCTGGCCGGACCATGCCTGACATCGAACAGGGGGTGAGTGGTTCTGAAACAGCTTCGAGACGTCAAGTCCGACCTCCAACTTCGTCCTCTTCGGGGAGTCGTGACAGACCTGAGAGGGGTCACGTTTCGGACGAGTTTAGACCAGCGAGTGAGGAAAGCCTGCCGAGGGGGCGGGTGAGGAAAGCGGCTGAAGTGATGGCTTCTGCGAGCACAGTGAATCTGTAGGGGGTGTGGGGGAGGTGCGGAAAGTGACTCTTAAAAACCCAAGGAGAACTAAGAACGTATATCTTGTCTTTATGAGAACCCTATGTGCCAAAAAAACAGCACAATGATATCAGATTGACCCTGAAACCACTGGATTGTAGAGACTTCTCTTCCAGCAGTCCTTTTCAAGGATAGACAAAATATAACATGTGTTGGCGACCAGTGGCTCACATTAACCTTTGTGCTTGGCTGTGTGTCGGATCACCCTGCGTGTCCGATCACCGTAAGTCACCTGTTTTTGGTGACTTTGCCCAGACACTCCATGGGACTGCCATATATGCCGCCCCATTGACCCCCCAAACCACCACCCCAACTGATCGGCAGTCCTATGGCAGTCCCATGGGTCGTGTTTGGGTTGGGACACCCCACTAGCTCCGGTCCCAAATCCAAAGCTTGGGAGGGGCGGGCTTCGCACACTCCCATCCTCCAAACGAAGCGCCGAAAGCAATGAGTGGACTGGGGAAGTACGACTGGAGCCCCCCCCAAACAAACACCTGGGAGTCAAAGACTATATTTACAGAATGGTCTTTAGGTGATCCGAAAAGGAACTTCCTTTACTTGGGTGGTGCCATGTGGTGCCTAAAATAGTCTTTGGACTTCTAGGGCAAAGGGCTTCACACCAGCGCCTGGGTAGATCCCTTTTGCACCGACCGGTCTACTTCGCTGGCGCTGAGGAAAGGATCCCATTGCATTCAAGCGATTGATCGGTCACTGGGAAAGTCGTCTCAACGAAGGGAAGTGGAGGGAAGTGGAGTAAGTCGAGTGAATCAAGTGGAGATTCACCAAAACCATCTCCACCCTGAAGAGAATCAAGTAGAGTAAGTCCCTTCGATTCGTTACTAACAAACTCGCCATTGAAAGCCAACAAACAACCAGCTAAAACTCTGGCACCTGGAATTCAACCCAGAAAGCCATGCCATGCAAAACCGATCGACACCGTCATCTTCCGGGGGATAATATGAACCATGGTATCACCGGTTTTATCGACTATAGGCATAGAAGTTGGAGAAGGCTATATGTTCTTCTTTCATGGTTCTTCTATCCCAAAAAAGCGGGACCAAAACCGCGTTGAAAAGCCCGAAGACCCGACGATGAGCCTATCAGATCCGTCGATCCAAGAAGAGCCTATCACCTTCTCCGCCGGGTTGCGACGGATCAGAAGTTCGACATGGGCCCCTGGTTCTCACCATGTTCCTCAGTGGGAACCAGGGAAGGGCTGCGCTGTGTGGTTTCCCACACTGCTTGGCGTCCCAGGAAAAAGCCGTGGAGAACTCGATGAAGCCACACGTTCCTTTTGGGATTCACTCTGCGAAGGTGACGGGTGGGACATCTCTGTGACGGGGCTGTGCCGTGGTTTGGACCAGTCGGTCACGAAGCCAGACACGAGCCGTTTGGGACTGCCATAAGAATGCCGATCAGGCCAGGGGTGGTGCCAGAGGGGTCAATGTAGAGTGTATGGGGTATACATGGAGTGCATGAGGTATACGGGCGCAAGAAGCGAGAGAGCAGAGAGCTGGCGAGGTAGAGCAGAGTTGGCTTGTTGATCACCGGCTCCTGTTGTGTCCTGTTGAGCCAGCGCGGTCTAGCTGTCCCCTAGGCTTCCAACAACCATGGTTTTAATGGTCTGTATACCAAACCACCATTGTTTTACTAAGGATCTGGCACCACGCAACCAGGTCAACCTTTGTTTTAATTGTCTTGAAAGCCTAGGGTGTCAATGGGTGTCCACTACTTAGGGATCTCTGTGCAAGGTCCAACCACTTGCTGAACGATGAAGGGACGTAGCCGATCTGATAGCTGGCAAGTCGAGTGACAGATCACGGCAGAGTCGAGCGGCCGAAAGTGGCCGATCGAAAACTGCAGGGAGGTTATGCTTGAAGACCATCGCACTTCGGTCGTGATGATGATGATGAGGAGGAGGATGATGATGACGATGAGGAGGTGGATGATGGTGATGATGATGATGATGATGATGATGATCATGATGATGACCTTCCGAGTTTACAGTGTGAATCCATGACTGCATCTTCAAACCAATTACGTTTTGATCCTCCGCATGTAACCCAAACAAATGCAAATAACGAGCAGGTGTGGATCTGTAGGTTGAAACCACCACCAACCAAGGGAGTCCTGAACTTCTTTCACTTCGATTCAGTTGTTGAAACATTTGCTCGGCCTCGGCTCTCCAGGACGCCGGGCACGCGGCTTCTTCGACTGGCTGCGGCGAAGATGACAGCGAGGGTTCGCGGTAGATAGGAGTACAGAGTAGCTACAAGGCTTGGCCCAGAGACAGACCATAGTTGGCCTTGAACTCGTGGTTGATTGATTCTGTATAACTATAGAGGTGAGACCCTCAAGTGTGCAACCAACATCTGCCCAGACGCTCCGTTCACAGCCCGACTGGTCCCTCAAAACCTAGAGATTTGAGACTTGACCCCACCGACCCCTTTGATTCTTCCCGCAAAAAGGGCGGACAGACGACGTCAGGGCACTCGGGTGATATCGGACGTATTCGGACGTGCCAAATCGAATGCGGGAAAAAAAAAACAAACACATCATTTCAATTGGACAATTTTCAAGAGAATAGCAGAAGGAAGATGAAGGAAGGGGCTTCGTTTTCAGGAATTGGAAAGACCCATTTTCCGTCTTCCGTGTCTACCGCTGATAGGGCCAGTATATACTGTAGTAGCAGTAACAGTTTTTGTTGGCTAATTCTTGACTTGTATGCGAATGCATGTGCCGTTTCATTTGTATGAGTCACCTTGGTTCTTTTTCGAGGTTCGTAGTCATCGGGGGTCGTAGTCGATCTGCATGGTTTGTCGATAATTCGTCCTCAAGGACGATTGGCTGGTTCTTTGGGCCATTTTGGTGATCGCGGGAGCTATCCGAGACCCCATGTCCGGCCTCGGCGCCGGGCCATGTGTGTTGCATGATGGACCGCCGACCTCGGGTCGTGTCAACTGAGAACATCGGACGTGATGAAGCACCGGGCACCCGCTTGCTTCCAAGGAGAGATGTCGCATGTCACTTAATAAGTCCCGACCGTGGATCGGAAGAGGGAAACACCATCACGGTATGCAACTCTTACTATAACAGCAGTATGTGTTTGTTTTTTCCCCAAGTTGGCCACCTTGTATACTTGGAGAGCTCCACCTAGTTCAACTCTGGTTGGGCACCTTCCAAAATGGTGGGATTCTCAGCCCTGTCCTCAAAAACCCTTCAAGAACCCCTCACGACGTGAACTGGCTCCCTGGTGCCCTCCATGGCGCTTTTGCGCGTCGCCCGAAGAACTAAGACAAAGAAAAACCGCCGGTGCTACCGGTGCTGAGGCAGGTGCTGCACCAAGAGGCAAAGGTTACTTAGACCTGGAGTCTCAAAGTACATGGGAAAATGGGTACTGTACAAGTACTTGGTTTTTTATGGGGTAAATCGGCAAATGTTCTCAAGTTTGAAGGTTCTTTGGAGGGTCCAGGTACATGCATATACATGAATTGAACCGCCCCCCTCCAAACATGGAAGTGGAACACGACCCCGAAAGGAAGACTGTTTTCCTTGGCTAACAGGGGTATAAACAACAAAAACAACGAAATCGTTTTACCTCCCGCTGTTCATCAGCTGCCTTCATTATATAGTCGAAGGATCAACCTGGACCTTCCTCAACTTCAGCAATATGAGGTTCAGCTCCTGCTGACTGGGGCACATGCCCCCCAGTTTGGACATCGACACGAAACATGCAACACACTTTTCCAGCATCGCGGCTGCGAGCATCCATTTGCTATATGCACCAGCCACGGTGAGGGGTTGTCAGACGTTTTCTTCGTTTTATCCTTCGTTGCCGACTTGGTCCATACTATCGCAAGACAATGTGAGGAGGAATTCGGAACATCCAAGGAGGCTGAAGTCCGCAGGTTTTAAGATATAAATCCTGCATGCTAAGCCTGTCTTGGTTTTGTTCAAGGGTTGGAGATGCTCGAGCGTCGTTGCTTTGAGCAACTTCAAACCCGAATTTGCTCAAGTGCTCGGCCCACGTTTTTGTTTTGCACGTGCGGCCAGCAGTACATCCCCATACCTTTGGAAGGACCTATGGTTCTTGCAGGTTGCCCTGGCCAGGCTGCCAGGTGCTGCACAGTCCCAATCAATAGCTTCACACAGTTGCAGCAGTGTTGTTCAAAAGAAGTTCAAGCTTGTTTATCAGATATTGTGCTGAATGTTGGGGTAATATTTTTTTCATTGGCGGTGTCTCGTTTTGCACTGGCTTACAGTCAACAACATGTCGCCGGCCCTCCATTTGTGGCGTCAAAGATGCCGCCGCTAGCTTGGGATGAAAGATTCTATCCCGCGTCAGACGTACTAGGTCACTGGTCTCCCTGTGGCAAGGATTTGTTTTGGAAAGCAGGACAGATGCAGCAAGGACCTTTTTGTTGAATTGTCTTTGCCCAGCTTTTTCCTGTCCAGCAGATCATCCTTCGTATGGATTCTGGCCTAACCGTGCCCCCTACCCCCACACTTCACCCTCCTGCCCTGCCCCGTGGGCAAAAAGCAGTTGTTGGATGGCCTGTGACGTCACGACGTGTCGCTCGGATCGATCGGACATCCGACTTGCCTGAGCAATACCAGCACCACACACGAGGAGTCGGGCACCATGCCTTCGATTGCAGGCAGATTAGCCATCGGCAGAGAAGTCTCCGAGTGCATCGCAAGGTGGCCCGCCAGCTTTCGTATTTCCTGAAGGAGTTGCTCGAGCACTTGGACGTTCGGAAAAAGAAGAGCAGAGCTGGAGTGCTTCCTGTAAATGAATAGAACCAATCGTTTGGAGAGGTTTAAAATTTGACCATTCGATCGGGGCTTCAATCATTCATCAAGAGTTTGGGTTTGTCCCAGTACCTGTAACAGTCGACTAAACACACAAATTGTGACCAATGCCTTTATATGCCTTCCTAGAACCTGATTGACCCCTGTTTTGGAGCCAACACATTGTCTTTTCCTATCAAAACAGAGGTCAAATGGGTTCTAGGTTTACTAACCATCATCATTAGAGGTAATGGGATCATATGGACATCACACCTCTGCAAATCCCATCCTCAACCCTTGAGCTGGCAGCATCCCCAGTAATCCAAACATCCAAGTGCCGTATTACAAACATCCAAGAAGGCCTGAGTATGTGAATCATCCGCTGGAACAAATCAGTTTCGGATGCAACCTCTCATTCAGATGGTGTGAAACTTTCAGCATCACCCCTTCTAGCTGTTTCTGCGTGGAAAATCCACGCTTCGGTGCCACCAACTGCCGTGTTGGTCGACGGGGTGCCGAACTTGGAGGATAGGGGCTGCCTAGAACATCCGCTCACTGGATGGGATGAGCCACACCACCCCGTCGAACGTGACTCCTGGTGCCTTGCACTTCCTGTCCGGGTGCCCTGTCAGGAGACCTGTTTACGTAGCGTATAGTCTAACGCCAGGACACCCAGATGGTCGGATGATCCTGGTAGATATCGAACATGGGCCCAGCTTGCAGAGAAGCAAGGCGATCATTTGGCTCACACGCCCACCCAACCTCTGACGCCCAGCTCGGCCAGTCTTTCCGTCGACTCAGGCCACCTTCTCTACAAGCAGCGGCCACCGTCAGGCACTGGGCGGCACTGGCCACTGGGATGCACCGGGTGAGTGGGGTCGACCAGGGGGCGCATCTGACATACCCCAGACACCACGAGCCGTTTGGGACTGCCAGTCCGGAACCTGCCGGTGCCACTCGTGGCACCGGCCGGGCCAGGGTGGTGCTAAGCGGTTTGGGCGGGCGGGCGGTCCGATTCCAGTTCCATCGAGTGTGGTGGGTCATCGAAGTGACTCCCGTTTGGGCTCCAGTCGTACCTTCGTTTCGAAGGTGGGACTGGGGTGGGTGCCAGGAGGGTCCAGTCATACCGAACCTGAGGAGGTACGACTGGAGGTGTAGGGACTGTATATAATCCCTATAGTAGAGATCCAGTTGTACCTTCTCCTCAGGTTCTTTTTACGGCTGGACCATGGCACCTCTGGCACCGGCCTACATAACAGTGTCCAACACATCACCGTACCTGAGGTGCGGTACGACTGGATCCCTATATAGGGAATATCTTATAATATAGTTATCTCCTGCAACATTTCTTGAGATAGAAATTAGATCCATTTGGATCCATGTGTAACGTTTTAACATTGATTATTCAGTACCTCTGTGTATCCTCAACCTGGTCTTGGCGGAGGGTGATGACCTGAACTGGGTCCATCCCCGAAACTGGAGGAAGAAGTTTCGATGATTTTGCCGCAGCCAATCCCACACAGCGGTCGCTGTCCAGGTGATTGGCGTGGCGCCACTCAGAGCCCCGAGATTCCACACCCAAAGGATCCGTGGGATTGCCATAGGACTGCTGCCCCAGAAATAAATACACCTTTGGCACCACCCCTGGCCCTTTTCTCGGCAAATGTTACAGGCCCAGAAAAGTCGGACTGGGGCAGCTTGCAGAGGGGTCGTGAGCTGTTGAAGGCCTTGGACCGGTTTTTGGGGCACGGAACGCCACCCGGTTCTACGGCCACCCGTGTTCGCAGCTGAGGCCCTTGAGAAGAGGCCAAGGAGATTGGGAAGCTTTGAGACTTCACCCCGTCGCTGTCGAGAGAAAACACGGTTCAACAGGTTTTCTCACACTCCATGGGACTAGAAGATGTTCCATTGGCCCAAGGTCCACCACCCCAATATATTAAAACGTACCAGTCCCATGGGGTCCCATGGAGTGCACTGGGTGTTGTGACCATGTTTGTTCCATTCAACCACCAGTTCACTGCTCACCTGGGTCACCTGGGTCGCCTGCCTTCCAAATGGGCCCAGAAGGGGGCTGAGAAACGCTAGGTGGTTGAACTGACTCCGTGAGCCCAGTGGGGCCTCCGCCCGTTCCAGTTCCGATGGGCCTCGACTGACTGGCGCGACTGGCGTGGCGCGACCCGGTGGTGAAACGACGAAGGAATCGAGTTGGAAGTCTGAAGGGTGGAAACATGACACGAAGCAAAGGAGTCCTTTGCAGAAGTGACAGGAGTTACAGTACATGGAGTTACGTAGCCTCCAGAAGCCATGTTCTTCCTCTCAAGCATTCTAAAGGCCCAATTTGGGAGGGCTGCTTCACAGTGGAAATTCCTGGGGTCACCGAAGCCGACCAGATTCTGCCATCACCGCACATGGGCCAGGCCAGCTGAACTAGTGACATACGGGGCATCCATCAGAAACAAAACTAATTATATATATCCCTATTGACTTGTAAGGGAGAAGTATATAAATCAAGTTTCGGTCACTGACAC